GCAGCAGCAGCAGCAGCAGCAGCAGCAGCAGCAGCAGCAGCAGCAGCAGCAGCAGCAGCAAAACGCCAGCGACGTGGGGGTCACTTTGACTGTGCGCCAGCCTTATGCCTCTCTCATAGTTAACGGCTTCATCTTGGAAGACCTTCGCTACTGGGCCTCTTCTTACAGGGGCAGGTCAGCAGCCAGCAGCAAACCCTAAACTGCTTTTAAGGGCCCCTTGGGGGCCCCCGGGGGGCCCCCGGGGGGCCCCCAAGGGGCCCCAGGGTCTTGCGGGGCCTCAGGGGCCCCAGGGGGTTCTTTGAAGGGCGTTTGGAGCTGCTCAGGGGCCCGGGGGGCCCCTGTGGGGCCTCGCGGGGCCCCTTGGGGCTCTTGGGGTCCTTAGGGGCCCTTTGGGGCCCTGGGGGCCCCCCCAGGGGCCCCCGGGGGCCCCCTAGGGGCCCTTGGGGGCCCCCCAGGGGCCCCCGGGGGCCCCCTAGGGGCCCTTGGGGGCCCCCCAGGGGCCCCCGGGGGCCCCCCAGGGGCCCTTGGGGGCCCCCCAGGGGCCCCCGGGGGGCCCTCAGGGCGTGCGGGAAGGTTAATTGGGGTTTGATATTCGAGGGCAGTGGAGTAGAAGCATGAATAGACAGAGCAGCGGGTAAAGGCGGTCCCATCTGCTGCTGCTGCTGCTGCTGCTGCTGCTGCTGCTGCTGCTGCTGCTGCTGGTTCAGGCTGTGGATCCACGCATCAGAAGATGCAGCAACAGCCCCCGTCATTTCCCTGGCTGAGGCCTCGTGTCAGCAAAAGCTGCTGCAGGCTGCTGCAGCGGGCCTCGCTGGGGGGCCCCCAGGGGCCCCCCAAGGGGGGCCCCCCGGGGGGCCCCCAGGGGCCCCCCATGAAGGGCCCCCTGGGGGGCCCCCCAAGGGGGCCCCAAGCGCCTGCCTGCCGCCTTTTCCCTCTCAGTACCCAACGCGATGTGTGCTGGGCTGTGTGCAGCTGATTGACTGCGTCGCAGCGCCGGTAGGGTTTAGGGTTTAGGGTTTAGGGTTTAGGGTTTAGGGTTTAGGGTTTAGGGCTTGGGTCAAGGTAATGGTGATTCTGGGCTGGTTTCTGCTAGCTCTTTTCGTGTCTTTGGTTCATCTAAATGTTTGCGTTCGGCTGCTTTTGCTGCTGCACTTGCTGCTGCTGCTGCTGCTGCTGCTGCTGCTGCTGCTGCTGCTGCCTTTGGGTCTTCCTGCAGGGTGATGACTGCGGCGGCTCGGAGGCTTTCCTCTTTCGCTTTGCCTTGCCGCAGCTGCTGCAGGTCCCCCTGAAGGTGTCCTAAACCCTAAACCCTAAACCCTAAACCCTAAACCCTAAACCCTTCCGCGTTGAACAGTGGCATGGACTGTCTTAAGCGAGGCAGAGGGGGCCTGGAAACGCAGCTGAATTTGCTGCCGCTGCCGTTGCTGCTGCATTTGCCGCTGCTGCTGCATTTGGCGCTGCTTCTGCATTTGCTGCTGCTGCTGCATTTGCTGCTGCTGCTGCATTTGCTGCTGCTGCTGCTGCTGCTGCTGCTGCTGCTGCTGCTTGCAGATCCAGGGGGGCGACAAGTTTTGGTGTTTGCCGAAGGGCCTCCTACCGACCCTTCAGGCTTCTCTTTTGCCGCCGCGCTGGCCGGCGGTCTGGGGGCCCCCAGCAGCACTGCTGGCCCCCAGCAGCAGCAGCAGCAGCAGCAGCAGCAGCAGCAGCAGCAGCAGCAGCAGCAGCGTTGGGGGGGACGATGCATCTGAGCAGCAGCCGCTGCAGCAGCGGACAGACCCGACCCCAGAAGAGCCCGAGGCCTTCTGGTGACCTGCAGAGGGGCCCCCCAACTCTGGGGGCCCCCCAGCTCGGGGGGCCCCCGCATTGAGGGTACCAGTGGGTCTCAGGGGGGCCCCCAGCTCTGGGGGGCCCCTGCTGAGGGGGGCCCCCAGCCCAGGGGGGCCCCCCATTTGAGGGTACCAGCGGGTCTCAGGGGGGCCCCCAGGTCATTTGACGGGCCCCGGGGTGCCGGGCCTTTCAAGCTGCTGTTTGCTGTAAGCAGCAGCATGTAGTGCTGCAGCACTTGCTGCTGCTGCAGCAGCAGCAGCTGCTGCTGCTGCAGCACATGATGCTGCTGCAGCAGTTGCTGCTGCAGCAGTTGCTGCTGCAGCTTCTAGATCCATAGCCGCCAGTGTATCTATCTACAAATGCATATACATTTTATCCATTAATAACATTTGTGAGTATTGCAATTATAATTATAATTTATAATTATAATTATAATTATAATTATAATTATAATTATAATTATAATTATAATTATATTTTTAAAGATGTTTATTATAGATGTATATGAGGGCGCCAGAGGTGGCCCTGAAGGCTTGGGGAGGGCCCCTTCTCAAGCCCCTGCTGCTGCTGCAGCTGCTGCTGCAGTTGGTGCTGCAGCTGCTGCTGCAGTTGGTGCTGCAGCTGCTGCTGCAGCTGCTGTTGCAGCTGGTGCTGCAGCTGCTGCTGCAGCTGCTGTTGCAGTTGCTGCTGCAGGTGTTCCAGTTGCTGGTGGAGCTGCCACCGCAGCTGCTGCTGCAGCTGCTGCTGCTGCTCCAGTTGCTGCTGCAGCTGCTGCAACTGGAACAGCAGCAGCTGCTGCTGTTCCAGCTGCTGCTGTTCCAGTTGCTGCTGCAGCTGCTGTTCCAGTTGCTGCTGCAGCTGCTGCTGCGCTTGAAGCTGCCAGGGCTGCGTGCAGCTGCCGCAGGAAGAGCTGCTGCTGCAGCTGCTGCTGGAGGAGCCGCAGCTTCATTTGATGCAGCGCTTGGAGGCGCTGGCCTAGGGCTGCATGCAGCAGCAGCAGCAGCAGCAGCAGCAGCAGCAGAAAGGGCTGCTGGGGCACTGCGCCTCCCGCAGCCCTCCAGTTTTAGCAAACAGCTGGCACAGCTACTCCGCCAGCTAGCTAGCTAGCTAGCTAGCTAGCTAGCTAGCTAGCTGTTCGCTTCCCTAGCTGCTGAGCCAGTAAGCTGCCTAGCTGCTTGCCTGGCTGGCTAGCCGGCTAGCTAGCTAGCTAGCTAGCTGGCCGGCTAGCTAGCCAGCTAGTTACCTTGCCGGCTGGCTAGCCAGCTAGCTAGCTGGCTAGCCACCTGGCTGGCTAGCTGGCTAGCCAAGCGGCTGGGGAACCATCTAGCTTTGTAAGAGTCTAGTTGGATGGCTAGCTGGAGTAGCTAGCTGCCTAGCTAGCTAGCTAAGTGCACACCTTGCTAGCTAGCTGCCCAGCTAGCTAGCTAGCTAGCTAGCTAGCTAGCTAGCTAGCTAGCTAGCTAGCTAAATGTATAGCTAGCTAGCCAGCTGCCTAGCTAGCTAGCTAGCTGCTCCGCTAGTCGCTCGACAGGGGGGCGAGTGGGGAGCGGCAAGCTTCCTTTATAGCACGTTGTGTGCAAATAGCTGCAGCAGCATCTGCTGCTGCAGCCACCGCAGCAGCAGCAGCAGCAGCACGTGCTGCTGCTGCCGCCGCCGCAGGAAAGCCTGCTGCTACTGCTGCTGCAGCCGCAGCAGCAGCAGCAGCAACACCTAAAAACTCTTCTGCCTTCGGCCGCGTCAGGCGTGTCTAGGGCACACTCGCGGCCTCCTCAAGCCCTAGGGTTTAGGGTTTAGGGTTTAGGGTTTAGGGTTTAGGGTTTGTGCTGCTGCCAGCAGCGAGAACCACAGGGGCACTGCTGCTTGCTGCTGCACCCCCAAAACCCCCAAAGGAGAGGCCCCTAAGAAGAGGCCCAGGGGGTGGGGAAAGGGGCAGAGGGGGGGCAGGGGGCCCCTTCTCGCTGGCGCTGCTGCTGCTGCTGCTGCTGCTGCTGCTGCTGCTGCTGCTGCTGCTGCTGGCCGCGGGGCCCCTGCTGCTGCGGGAGTCAGGCGGTACTGCACTTCAGCGCAGAAGGCGTCAGCCTCGCTTTGAGACAGAGACACAATTTCCTCGCACAGCTGCAGCAAGTGGCGGCTGGGCCTGCTGCTGCTGCTGTTGCTGCTGCTGCTGTTGCTGCTGCTGCTGCTGCTGCTGCTGCTGCTGCTGTTGCTGCTGCTGTTGGAAGGCGCACCCTCAGAGGTCTCACTGCTTTTGCTGCCCGGGGGCACTGCTGCGCCTGCAGAGAAGTGGCGAAGAGAGCCACAGGAGCAAGTTGCTGCTGCTGCTGCTGCTGCTGCTGCTGCTGCTGCTGTTGCTGCAGCATGCCCGTAATGAATTGCTGCAGCTGCTGTGAGCCCAAGGGCCCGTCGGGCCCACCACGCAGCGGCAGGGGCTGCAGCCATTGCTCTGCTGCGGCTGCTGCGCGCTGCTGCGCCCAATGCTGCTGCTGCTGCTGCTGCTGCTGCTGCTGCTGCACCCGCTGCTGCTGATTCGACCCGAAAGAGGAACTACAACTCAAAAACAAAAACAATTAATAAACAAATAATTAAAGTTCCTCTTTATGCTGCAGCGACATCAGTGTGTTTGCTGCAGCTCCCACAGCACCTGAGGGGGCCCCCGGGGGCCCCGGGGGGCCCCCGGGGGCCCCCAGGGGCCCCCGGGGGGCCCCCAAGGGCCCCCTGGGGGCCCCCAGGGGCCCCTCAGAAGCAGCAAAATATGTTTTGTACAAACCCCAGGTAGGCCCTTGGCCTAAACACACAGCAGGGGGAGCTTCTGTAGCTGTTTTTGCTGCGGCCGCTTGCTGCAGCTACTGCTGCCGCTTGCTGCTGCTGCTGCTGCTGCTGCTGCTGCTGCTGCTGCTTCTCCACTAGTATTCTTGAAGAGGAGAGGGAGAGACAGCCTAGGGCCTTGGCAGCAGCGCTGCAGTTTAGAGACAGCTCATTTGCTGCTGAGGATCTAACGGCGCCTCGCTACCCCTCGGGCTACATAGCTACCGCTGCTGCTGCTGCTGCTGCTGCTGCTGCTGCTGCTGCTGCTGCTGCTGCTGTGCTCTGCAGCAGCTGTGTGTGAGTAGCAGTCTAGTCATAAGTCTGCAAATAAGCCAAGGCGTTGTTTGCGTTGCTGTGAGGCCGTTACAACTGAGCAGGGCCAATGCCACTGCTGCTGCTGCTGCTGCTGCTGCTGCTGCTGCAACAGCAGTAAGCACTGCAGAATTTTCGCTGCAGCAGCAACTGTGACAGCTGCAGCAGCAGAACTACTGCTGCGCCGGTGCCTGCAGCAGCACGCGTCCCGTCTGCTGCAGCTGCGTCGGGCACCCCCCGCACTGCAGCAGCAGCAGCAGCAGCAGCAGCTGCTGCTGCTGCAGCAGCAGCAGGGCCCCTCACCTCTCGCGTATCTCCTGGGCAAAGGCCTGCAGCAAATCCCTTATCAAGGGGGGCCCCTCCTTCTTTGCTGCTGCATCAATTCGCTGCTGCGGCGGCAGCCGCCCATCTCCATAAAACGAAATGCTGCAGCTGCTGCTGTCGTCTGTGAAGTCCCTAATGCACAGCCGCCCCCGCGAGTCTGCAGCAGCAGCAGCAGCAGCAGCAGCAGCAGCAGCAGCAGCAGGAGAGGTGTGGAGGGCTGCTGCGCTGGCGGTGAGGGGCAGAGACATGATGGACGGCAGCGCCTGCAGCAGCCACTGCTACAGTCGCAGCAGCAGCTGCTGCTGCTGCAGCAGCTGCAGCAGCTGCAGCAGCTGCAGCAGCAGCAGCAGCAGCAGCTGCAGCAGCAGCACGGGCGAAAAAGGACTTATTCGAGAGAGAAAAAAGCGCCAAAAAGGAAGACAAAACAAAAAGACAAAAGGAAAGTAAAACAAAACAAATAAAACAAATAAAACAAATAAAATAAATAAATAAAATAAATAAATAAAATAAATAAATAAATAAAATAAAATAAATAAAATGACCTGCGAGGAAGTTTTGCTGCTGGTCTCTTGCTGTTGCTTTCCAATCTGCTTCGGCGTTTAAATCGAAAATTAAAATCTTCCGATTTCGCTTGTAGCTCAGCGAGGCCTGAAACGCCCAAACCCTAAACCCTAAACCCTAAACCCTAAACCCTAAACCCTAGGCCCTAAACCCTAAGCCCTAAACCCTAAGCCCTAAACCCTAGACCCTGGGCGCTAGCTGCGGGAGGCCGCAGCTCTGGCTGCGGCTAAAGAGAGCTAGGGTTTGCAACCAGTGCTTCGCTAGGGTTTAGGGTTTAGGGTTTGCAGCGAAGTGCTGCTAGGGTTTGGGGTTTCGTGTTGCAGCCCCCGCAGCAGCAGCCACCCGCTAGGGTTTAGGGTTTCAGCGCAGCAGCTAGGGTTTAGCGAGGCTGCAGCTGCGGCCTCGAGGGCGCTGCAGCTAGACCCTAGGGTTTAGGCGTTAGGGTTTAGGGTTTAGGGTTTAGGGTTTACCTCGCCCTTGACAGTGACGTTGAAGAAAGTCAACTCCGTGCTGCCTTCCAGCAGCAAAAGTTTTGCTGCAGCAAGCCGCTGCTGCAGCGTCGAGACACACCAGGGGGTTAGCTGCTTCTCCTCCCTAAGCAGCAGCAGCAGCAGCAACAGCAGCAGCAGCAATCGCAGACGCGCAGCAGCACTAGCAGCAGCAGCAACAGCAACACTAGCAGACGCACAGCAGCGCTAGCAGCAGCAGCAGCACTAGCAGCAGCAGGAATACGAACATCAGTAGCCATACAGCAGCACTAGCAGCAGCAGCAACAGCAGCAGCAACAGCAGCAACAGCAGCAGCAGCAACAGCAGCAGCAGCAACAGCAGCCTCACCAGTGAGACGAACTGGGGTTCCAAGATGAAGAAGAAGCCTCCTGAAGGACCCGCAGCAGCAGCAGCAGCAGCGGTAACAGCAGCAGCAGCAGCGGTAACAGCAGCAGCAGCAGCGACAATAACTCGTGCAGCAGCAGAAGCAGAAATAGTTGCAGCAGCAGCAACTGCTGCAGCTGTCGGCCGCAACAGCAGCAGCGGACACAGGCGCAGCAACAGCCACAACAGCAGCAACAGCAGCAACCACAGCAGCAGCAGCAAAAGTGGCAGCAGCAGAAGCGACAGCAGCCACGGCGGCAGCAGCAGCAGCATAAGCGGAAAATGCCGCAGCAGCGGCTGCAACACCTATAGCAGCAGCAACTGCAGCAGCAGCAGCAAGTGCAGCAACAACTTCAGCAGCAGCAACTGCAGCAGAAGCAGCAGCAGAGACACGAGTGGCCCACCGGGGCCTTTTCTTGGATGTCTTTGCTTTGCTGCTCCTGGTCTGTCATTTTGCTGCTGCTGTTGCTGCTATTGCTGCTGCTGTTGCTACTGCTGCTGCTGCTGCTGCTACTGCTGCTGCTGCTGCTGCTACTGCTGCTGCTGCTGCTCTTGTGGAGTAGCTCAGGCAAATACAAGCTATGGTAACGGGGCCCTTTTGACTGCAGTGCAGCAGCAGCTGCTGCTATTCACGGGACTCCTGCTGCTGCAGTTGCTGCTGCTGCTGCTGCTGCTATTCCTGCTGTTGCTGCTGTTACTGTGGATTTTATTTTGCTGCAGCAGTCAGTCCAGCGCAGCAATTCGGGTGCCATGTCCCCTCAGGCTCGCCTTGCTGCTGCTGCTGCTGCTGCTGCTGCTGCTGCTGCGTGCGCTGGTTGCTGCTGCTGCTGCAGCGCAGGAGAATGAGCCTGCTGCAGAAGTCTGCTGCTGCTGCTGCTGCTGCTGCTGTGCCTTTGCTGCAGTCGTCAGCGGGTGCGCATGCACCTGGAACCGTTAGCTGCTGCGAGACTTTGCTGCAGCAGTGGCGGCCGGGGGAGTCGCAGCAGCAGCAGCAGCAGCAGCAGCAGCAGCAGCGCAGCGCCGGATAAGTTATTCCAAAAAACAAATTGCAATTTAATTACATTCAAATTAAAAAGGTGCAGCGCTTTCTGTCGTTTGCGAGCGCAGACTTGAAGCCTTCATCTGATGCTGCAGCAGCACCGCAGCAGCAGCAGCAGCAGCAGTTGCTGCAGCAGCTGCTGCTGCTGCTCTGGCTCTGTTATTGTTAGCCAGACTCCTAGGGCCTCAACTTTTGATTTTTGAGTTAATAAAATATCTAACATTTAATGTGTTTAGCTGGACAGCGGCTAGAGTCGCAGCAGCAGCTGTTGCTGCTGTTGCTGCTATGCTGCTGCTGCTGCTGCTGCTGCTGCTGCTGCTGCTGTCTGCAGCAGGACGCCACAGGTCCTTGGTCTTTTAATGTAGCAGCTAAACAGACAAAATGTACGATAGGATAGGCTTTTGCCTGTGAATTGTCAAGGGTTTAGGGTTTGGATTTCAGGGTTTAGGGCTAGGGTTTAGGGTTTCGGGCAAGGGTTTAGGGTTTAGGGTTTGGCGGCTTCGCGAGACTGCAACGAAGACAGGCGAAGTCGAGGCGGCTGTCTCAACACGACGCGGGGTGTACGTACACCTGAAGTTCTGCTGCAGCAGCAAATCAGTTCTTTTGCTTCCGAGGGTTTTGAGTTTCATTAACAACACAAATAGGCCAGGTTGCAAGCAGCAGCAGCAGCAGCAGCAGCAGCAGCAGCAGCAGCAGCAGCAGCAAGTGGTGACCTAACTGCAGCACACTGGCTGCGGCCAACATAAATCAGAATCTTCCTTGTGTGTTTGGAGGGCCAACACGAAAAGTGTTTGCAGCAGACGCCTAGGGTTTAGGGTTTAGGGTTTAGGGTTTAGGGTTTAGGGTTTAGCAAAATGAAGATTCACAAAATTAAAGTCGAAAACCCTGTGGTGGAGATGGACGGCGACGAGATGGCTCGCCTCATGTGGCACTGGATCAAAGAAGAGGTCAGCCGAAACCCTAAACCCTAAACCCTAAACCCTAAACCCTAAACCCTAAACCCTAAACCCTAGAAGACCTTCGCTAGCTCTTCGAGCTGTCCTCCCGCCAATTTGCTGTCTACCGCCGCAGCTGCATCTGTTACCCTCGTTGCTTGCCGCTCAAACCCTAAACCCTAAACCCTAAACCCTAAACCCTAAACCCTAAACCCTAGTTTGTGCGCAGCAGGTCCAGAAGTACCTAAACCTCCTCAGAGAGCGCTTCGACCGTAGCCCTAAACCCTAAATCTCAAACCCTAAACCCTAAACCCTAAACCCTAAACCGTAGTTTGTGCGCACCGGATTTTGAAATACCTGGACTAAACTCCAAACCCTAAACCCTAGTTTGTGCGCGGCTGGTCATGGAATAGCTGGCCAAAACCCTAAACCCTAAACCCTAGTTTGTTCGCAGCTAATATTGAAGTACCTGGACTTGCCGATAGAGTACTACGGCCGCAGCCCTAAACCCTAAACCCTAAACCCTAAACCCGAATTTGTGCGCATTTCCTCCTCCACCCCCCAAACCCCAAACCCCAAACCCTAAACCCCAAACCCTAAACCCTAAACCCTAAACCCTAGTTTGTTCGCAGCTAATACTGAAGTACCTGGACTTGCCGATCGAGTACTACGGCCGCAGCCCTAAACCCTAAACCCTAAACCCTAAACCCGAATTTGTGCGCATTTCCTCCTCCACCCCCCAAACC